GATGGAGATTCAAATAATGCACGAAAGGGGCATGTGCGGGCGGTGAAGCGTAAAAGGGATGAGGTTGGGATAACTGGTCGGATGCCTGTGATTAGCTTTCGAGCAGAAGATGCAGAAGGAATCTTGTTACCCCACAATGACGCACTGGTCATCACAGCCGAAGTGGTAGGTTTCGATGTGAAAAGAGTGTTCATCGACACGGGGAGCTCAGTCGACGTGATGTTCTACGATTGTTTTGCGCAGATCAACAAGTACCTGAATCTGGAATTGAAACTGGTGGCGACAGCTTTATACAGATTTAACGGTGGAGAGGTAATGCCAATGGGCGAAGTGAGCCTGACCATAGCATTGGGGTCGGGCGATTCGAGGAAAGTGAGAATGATCCGGTTTGTGGTGGTCGGAGCAGAATCGTCTTACAATATCATTTTAGGGCGGACAGGTTTAAATGCGTTCCAAGCGGTCGTGTCTACCTACCACATGACGATAAAATATCCTGTGGGGGAAAATGTAGGCGAGATTGCGGGGGACCAGCTCACGTCGAGGAGTTGCTATCAAACCACAGTCAGTAACAACAGACAGATGACAGAAAGGCAGTTGAAAGGCAAGGAAGTGAGGCCTGATCGACCAGGAGGATCACGAGCGAAAGAGGAGAGAGGAGGACAAGACAAAGGAAAGGAGAAGATAGACATACAGCCCGGAGAAGAGATTGAGGAAATTCAAATGGTGCAGGGATGCGATGACCGAAAATTCAGGATTGGAAAAGATTTGGGAGAGCGAATCAGGTCGAAGCTGATCAATTTAATAAGGGAATTTACGGACATTTTTGCGTATACAACGGATGAACTAACGGGGATCGAGGCCAGGGTGATCGAGCACAGACTTAATATTGATCTCAGTGTGAGGCCGGTAAAGCAAAAGAAGAGACATCATGGTGCGGAAATGGACAAAATCATTGAGATGGAGGTCGACAAGCTGATGAACGCTGGGCACATTAAGAAGTTTCAGTTCCCTGAGTGGTTATCTAACACGGTAATGGTGTCCAAACCGGGAGGAAAGTGGATGATGTGCATCGATTTCCGTGATCTAAACAAGGCTTGCCCGAAAGATCTATACCCGCTGCCAAGGATCGACCAACTGGTAGACTCCACGGCGGGGTGCGAGTTGCTTAGCCTGATGGACGCCTCGCAGGGGTATCATCAGATCCCCTTGGCGAAAGAAGACTGGAAGAGAGTGAGCTTCATAACAAGCAAAGGCACCTATTGTTATGTAGTCATGTCGTTTGGATTAAAAAATGCCGGGGCCACTTACCAGCGGTTGGTCGACCAAATTTTCAAAGACCAGTTGGGGAGGAATATGGAGGTGTACGTCGATGACATGCTGGTAAAGAGTAAGGTGGAGGTGGACCACGTGGGCGACCTGAGGGAGACTTTCCAAACACTGAGGAGGTTCGACATGAAGCTCAACCAAGCTAAGTGCTCGTTTGGTGTAAAGGCAGGGAAGTTCTTGGGATACATGGTAACAAAGCGGGGCATAGAGGTGAATCCTGAGAAAGTAAGAGCTATGATCAAAATGAAGCCACCGGCCAATGTGAAGGAAGTCCAAATACTAACTGGTCGAATAGCAGGGCTAAGCCGATTCATTTCTAAGGTGGCTGAAAAAAGCAGCCCTCTGTTCAAAACCCTGAAGAAGAGCTCGAAGTTTCAGTGGACAGAGGAAGCCCAGAAGGCCTTCGAGGAGCTGCAGGGGACGCTGGCTAATTTGCCCTTACTGGCCAAGACAATTCACGGAGAGGAACTTGTGCTCTACATATCGGTGGGCGAGAGTGCAGTAAGC